CTTCCTAAAAGCAGACAGATGAAAACCAAACCCTTTGAAAATGCTAATCTGTGCCTCCCAGTTAAAGAACAGAGAAGCAAAGGGGGATCTTCAAGTTAGCTTAGAAGCCTGGATTTTAGAATATTCCCCTACCCCAAAGTATTTGGGCATCACTGTATTGAATCCAGACCTACAAAACACTGTCTAAACATCTAACACAAAGTCGCCTCCAAAAATGACATGCTTAGGAAGCTGGCTGGGTCTGACTGGGGTGGACACCTATGAACAATAAGAACAGCTTTGTCCATGTGCTATTTCACAGCAGAACATCTCAAGAGCTAAATATTAAAGTAGAAGAAGCTAGGTTAAACTGATGGAGAACAAAAGCAACACACTTTGCCAAAAAGATGAATCCTAAAAAGGGTCTCTCAGCACGACATGCCTCTGGCTGGGCCATCGGGAAGTCTCTCAATAGATTTGGCAGTGAAGGAGGAAGATTAAAGATTAATCAAGCAACATGGGGCTACTTGGAGACAGGACAAATTTTCTCTGACTGTGGAGAAATTCAATCCATGCAGGATTTATTGCCATGCAATTTATGCTCCTCCATGTGTACAAAAGCAGATCTAGGAAATAGACTAAGATAGCGCTATGGAAGAAGCCCACTTCTGGTCAAAAACAGAATTATCTTAATAGTTTAATTATTTAAAAAATTAGCTGTATTTTACATATTTTCATAATTTTAAATTGTGGAAGGAAGGAAGGAAGAGAGGGAGGGAGAAAAGAACTGATGAAGGGAGGAAGGGAGGAAGGAAGGGAAGAATTGATGTTTTACATATTTTCATAATTTTAAATTGTGGAAGGAAGGAAGGAAGAGAGGGAGGGAGAAAAGAACTGATGAAGGGAGGAAGGGAGGAAGGGGGGGAGGAAGGAAGGAGGGGAGGGAGGGAGGCTGCCTGCATGTAAGCAAGGTCGCCAGACCCTCTTTAAAAGAGAAACCAGCAGATGACATTTGTCGCAATGTGCAGTAAGGATTTACATTTGCTAATGCAACTGCTGCCTGATGTACAGGAACAGCTACCTTTAAAAAAGAACAACAGCAACAGCAGGCAACCCTGTGTGTATCTGTTTTGAGAAGATTTGGAAAGCCAGGGAGTTGCCCATGTTTAGAAGCTGCAAGAACGTTTCGAAGGGTCTGTATACCTACATAGAAAACCTCCAGATTAGGTGCGAAGGCTTTCAGAAACTGAGCCTCTTCATGGCAAAAGTGGTTCGGAGAAGATTAGACGGAGGCACTGCTAGATTGTCTTCTCTGTAGAAGAAACTCTCTGGAAGGGGATGGGCGTGGGTGCAACCCATCCTTTGAGGTCATCATAGAACCACGGAACTGTAGAGTGTAGAAGGGCTGCCGAGGGAATCTAGTCCAACTGCCCAGCAAGGGAGAGAGAATCCAGCATGGCCTGATTCGTCCGCAGTCAACAGGTATTTCAGAGCTTAGGAAGCGTAGGATTTCGGCCGGCTGTTTCCAGAAGAGGCCCAAGACTTTCTGCTGCCTGAGGTCAAGGACATGAGAGCGGTCTCCCTCATGGTCGGCCACAGGTGGCCACAGGGCGGTAGCCTTGCCCAATGGGGAAAAGTTCCTTTTTTGGACTTGGTTTTTACAAATTCTGAACATTATGCAGTATTATTTGGGGGGCAGAGGGAATGTTTGAGGAGCATTCTAGAATAGAAGGGAATATTGGGGTATGGATGGGAGGGGGATTGCCACCCACTGCTGTTCATACCATGACACACATGTGCTACTTGAGAAAACTGCCTCCTTTGCATACCCCTATGAACCAAAGCACACCAGGCCCTCCTGTCTTCCATTGCCTCCCAGAGTTGGGTCAAATTCATGTTGGGCACTTTGATGACCCTGTCCAACCATCTTGTCCTCTGTCTTTCCCTACTCCTCTTACCTTCATGCTTTCCCAAGAGAAGAGAGTCTTCTCTTCTAATGAGATGGCCAAAGTCTTGGAGCCTCCGCGTCAGGATCTGTCCTTCCAGTGAGCACTAAGGGTTGATTTCCTTCAGAATGGATAGGTTTGTTCTCTTTGCAGTCCAGGGGACTCTCAAGAATCTCTTCCAGCACCACAACTCAAAATCATCCATTCTTTGGCGGTCAGCCTTCACTATGGTCCAGCTCTCACTTCCATACATCGCTACTGGAAAAAACATAGCTTTGACTATGCGGACCTTTGTCGGCAAGGTGAGGTCTCTGCTTTTTAAGATGCTGTTTCTCATTGCTTTCCTCCCAAGAAGCAGGCGTCTTTTAATTTCGTGGCTGCTGTCACCATCTGCAGTGATCATGGAGCCCAAAAAAGTAAAATCTGTCACTGCCTCCATATCTTCCCCTTCAATTTCCCAGGAGGTGATGGGACCAGTGGCCATGATCTTAG